TAATATTATTTATTTATTTATTATTATTATTATTATTACAGATAGGTGGTTGCTCCTCACTAACAGTCCTTATCCTAAGGAACAATCGGCTGAGGTCCATTCCTTCATCAATAGCTCAGTTGAGCAGTTTAACAATCATTAATATCATTGGGAACCAGTTGTCAAGACTACCAGCAGGACTCTCATCACTACCTCACATTACAGCAATATGGATAGCAGAGAACCAGGTACCATTTGATATGTACAATTGTACAGTTATTATTATTATTATTAGTTTATTAATGTTAGTAATAATCTGTTTATACCTTGAGGGGGAATTACTGACCAATTTTGCACTTTTATAATCATTTACAAAATTAAAACCTGCCAATTAATAAACAAAAATGTTACAATTACCCAAAATTCCCCTCCAGTATTACCAGCTGTCCTATTATTAGTTATTTTATTTATTTTATAGTCAAAGCCATTGTTAGAGTTTCAGCTCCAGACTGATCCCAGTAATGGAGACAGTTACCTCACTTGTGTGGTCTTCCCTCAACAAGGAATAGAAACACCTTACGATGAATGTAAAGATATGATAATAATAATAACTTTATAAGAAAATCACTTCTGATACATATTGATGTCCTTATGCTGTGTAGAAAATTTGAGTTGATTCCGACTTCAATTTTTCAAGTTACGGCCATTTTAAGAAAACGTCAAAAATCTGAAAAAATCCCTGTACTATAGCCCATGGTTTTTTTTACAAAAAATGGCTCCGAAATCACCCCAAATTTTTATTACATTTTCTGATACATATTGATGCCCTTATGCTGTGTAGAAAGTCTGAGCTGATTCCGACTTCAATTTATTCTTAATTCCTACCTAATAACTCCTATCTCTTCCTTCATTAGCTCATGGTTCATCAGATACCAGTTCCATCCCTACACTTGACTCCATTCCTCCTCCTCCTACTGGGGCCCATCCCACTGATGGACTCCATGCTCAGGGCAGCTCCGTTAACTTTGAACCTCATCTTGTCACTGGAGAGAAAAAGGTTTATTATTAAATATTATTATTAATATTATTATTATTATTATTATTTATTAATATGTAATGTATTATTAATGTGTTAGGGTATATCAAGAGATTTGACTCCTTACCCAAAGGAGCTTCATGCCAGAATCAATAAATGGAAAACATCTAAAGAAGGAACTGGGAAGGACTCAACTAACGTAAGACATTATACCCAATATACTTTTAGTATAGGAACCACTTTAATACAATAATAGCATCCAATAAATAAGAGGATGGTCATTAATGATGTATGAGGATTGGTTCAGTGCATTAATGATTGATGGTTTAATACTGAAAGAAGATTTAGATATTAAAATTGACATCAATTATTGTTACAATAATTATTATCATTATCATTATCATCTCTAGGAGTCTGGTAGTATTATTCAGCGTCGTTCCACTTACAATAAGATAAACCGCCCCCACAGTTTAATAAAGGCACTAGTTAATCCGGTCCAGGATGGATCAGGTCTCATTGAATCAACAGTATCAAGAGTTAGCTCACTCTCTCCTGATCTACTGATTCATCTACCTACTGCTGATATCGGAGCTGATTCTAACGATGATATTGATCAGGAATCAAGAGAAGTTGACGTGATTCCTGATATTAACATGTTAATGAATGATCAGTCAAGAAGGTCACAAGTACTGGACCACACCCACAACACCAACAACAACAATAATAATGCACGCCCACCAAGAATACCGTCTGCTGACTCAGCAACCAGTGGGTTTGCTTCCAGTCCAGACACGCCCACTTATCTTAAAAATAAATTAACTGCCGCTAAGGTGGGGGTGTGGTCTCATTACACCCACAGTGTTGAGAGTGGTATTGAACAGGAGCTGGCCTGGTATCAGTCGACCACACCCTCTCCCTCTCATGGAGCCACACCTACCATAACCCCACCCACTAACGGGCTTCAGTCTGATGGTGAGGATTATGATCATTTATCAAAAGACGTCCCCAGCAGTTCCACCCTCTCACTATCAGCCCCGCCCCTTTCCCCCGTCCTCTCTCCTCGTACAGTGCCCCCCCAGCCCCCTCAGGCCGGGGGTAATCCCTCTCGCCCCCCTCTAGACCTCTCCTCTCTCTCCCCCGTCCTCCAGCCAGCAGTGAGTGCTAAGATACACAGAGGACATGAGGGGTCCTTCATGAGGGCTCTCTCTCCCCACTACTCCTCATTCCATTCTCGGCATTACTCAGACTCAGTCTATCCGTTAAAAGCCACACCCACTACTGACACACCCCCTCTCAGTGCCGGCCCCATTAGGAGGACCAGAGGCTCCTCCTACACTAGTTCCTCTCCTAATAATCACAGCAGGAGACCATACCACCAGTACAGCACTGACCCTCCTACTGGGGGTTCCCCTAGGGGGTGGGGCCAGGAACTGATTCATAGTTTTGATAGATTAGTGTCAGCCACACCCCCTCAGTCTCCTGGTAAAAGGGGTGTGGTTTTTACCAGTACTGATGGTACGTTGAACAGGAGACCAAGAGCCAGTGAATATACTGATACTACCACTAGGACCCCGGGATATAAGGTATGTGTATGTGTATTATACTGTTGTATATTAAATTTAATTTTTTATTTTTGTTGTCCTGTATTTCTTTAACGTTGCTCATTGCAGAGATTTTTTATGTGTTAAAATTTACGTTTTGCATAAAGCAAATCTTCTAACATTAAAGCTGCCTTTATGTTATTGACTAGTAGTAGTTGGTTAATCGATATTCATTATGTATACTATGTCCCAACTGAGTTTGGACCAAGAAAAACTGGAATAACTTTTTATAGGAATGTGAGATAAGAATGAGACTTTCACAGGTTCTTAGTCGCCCAATGCCGCTTCAGGATCTCAGGTCTTGGGTCTCTCGGCCCTTGGGAACCCTGAGAACTGGGTTCTCCCTATAAACCCAATGGCATACCAAAGCTAACCGCAATGACGTTTCATGATGTCATAGTTTACATAAGCACATGTGGTCGAGCGCCCAAACTGATAATTCTTCTTTTAAAAAGCTAATAGAGCGAGATCTTCTGATAATGATGGCCTTTATGAAGACTAGTTGACTCCAGTAGCTATTGTACTGCTTATCAGGAAGAACAAGACTGGTTTAAGAGTGAAACAAGATAGCCAAAATATCGGCCATGTCTCTATGAATATCATTATAATTTGTCATTAGTGACGTAGCTACATTTTTCAAATTCCAATGCAGCTGCTTCCACTTCCGGTCCATTCTCAGTTGGGACATAGTATACTATCATAACTTCCTTTAGTCACGAGACTATAGAATATTCCAAGAGGTCATCAGGGCTATCTTTCCCCAGGCCACTCTCATTCTCGTTCATTCCAACTTCTTCATTTC